CTCCTTTACCTTATCCGTCTGCTTTGAAGGTCGGCCAGAGCGAGGGGCGTCTTGTACGTGCTCTGGGAGGATCTTAAGAGGGAGAACGTTTGGCTCGAAACCAGCCTCAATAGCTCTACTATAGATACGATTGACCGTACGAGGATGAACATCAGTAAGTTCAGAGATCTGTGATGTAGACTTGCCAACAGAAGGTGACTTTAACGCCACAATTAAGGTGCGGGTGTAAGGATCAGTATTAGGAGACATTGTAACGATAGATACAGACAAATCGTACAGCTACTCAGCTCAAAGGTGGGAGTTGCGCCAAGAAGAGTTATGCCGAAGCGCCGAGATTAGCGTGGGACAAAACTTTTGTGAGGCACCTCCGTACGTACTCGATCAATCTCGGTACTTGGTCGTATTGTACGTAGAGTGGGACTTGCACAGGGGGCGTTACGGGAGAGACTTTTTCCCCCTCATCGCCATTGCCCCCTTCTTCACTCCCTTTCCTTCTCGGCTATGAGGGGTCTTTTTTTTCTTCCTTTAGAGTTTGCTTTTTCTGCTTTCCTTGCTTCCTTGCTTGCTTGATTGGAAACATGTCTTGGTATCGTGCGACAGGCTAAAAGGCGGACCACGCGAGTAAGTAAGTAGGTTTAGTCATGCTCCGCCATCCGAGTGAGGGTTTTAGGACTTGACAATTAATTGCTGGTGATTTGATGCTGTCGTTATGCGTAGAAATGAAGGCTATGCTGCTGCGGCCATGTCCGACTCGCTACCGATACTAGATGGGTGGTTTTCCTCCCCCAAAAATCCGCTCTCCAAAGCCCGGGCCGGATGCTGGTGGTCACGCACACCTCGCGACTTTAGCCAAAGCCATGCCAACCCTATACATTCCAAGGATGTAATGAAACCAAGAATAACAACTTGCCAACATCAACGGCCACGCCGCGCAACGTCTTCCAAAAACCCCAGTAAAAATGTCTTGTCAACCGGACTCTTGCCTTCGCCCGTGCTGCCCGCTCTACTCTGGCTTCTAAGTCCACCCAAACTTCCACCTTCTTGATGAGGTGTGCTAACTCTGCTGCCCACATGATGACTTGTTCGAGTCGGTACGACAATGCTAGGTCCTGCTCCGTCGCCGATACTGCTAATCCTACTACGGTTTACAACGCCCTCGGGGGGACTGACCGCGCCGGCACTGCCATTCACCGGTAGAGGACTGACAGGGCTGATTACACCCGACACAGCTCTTTTCGGTGTTGGCACAAAGGGTGAGCGGGTCGGAGGTATTGGGCTATGTCCCCGGGGTCTGGGAGAGGACGATTTATTGTTGAATAGGGAAAGCAGCACGTTCTTCTGGTCAGAAGGGACCGATTCATGACGATCCATGGCGGGTTGAGGCATGGGCGAGCCAGACGGCTGCACCGCGGCTTGAGCGGGAGCGGGCTGAGGCGAGTTTCCCTTGAGCATGTCCAGTAATCCCTGTGCGTGTGGCGATGGCTTGTGCGCCGGCGCTGCAAAATCAACGTCAGTGGCCTGAACAACGTGGCCGCCTAGTCCAGAATAGTACAACGTACCTTGCTCAGCCATGCTCTTTTCCCCAGGCGGTGCCTGCGCCTGCTTTTGGTCTTGCGCTTGAGGGCGCTTGAGGATCTGCGGTTTGAACGGCAGCGGCGAGCTCGACGACTTTGCGACATTCTGAGGCGAGGCCTGCTGTGGACGCTTGAGAATCTGAGGCATAAAGGGCATGTTGGTGGATGGCGAAGGCCCAGACGAACTGCCGTTTGTGGCCTGCCTATTCTTCTTCACCGTTTCGAAATCCGGTGCGTTTACCGGGCCGCTCACAGTAGCCGATGTCATCTTTGTCCTGGTAGGAAGAGCGCCATGGTTACCTGGCGTCCCTGGGTTGGGCAGCTCTGCGGGGTTGGTGGCTGGCTGAGCAGACACATATGCTGGTGTTGTAGGGAGTGCCGACAGCTCTGCGGGTGCTTCTTTCGGGCTGTCCAGTGGCGGGGTGGGTCGGAATAGAGACAAGAGAGAATCTTGGTGAGGGTTCCTCGGCTTTGGCTGCTCGGGAACAAAACTAGAGCTGACGGGCAGCGAATGGAATTGCGGTGGGCTAGCAGAAAACTGTCCATGTGGTGATAGGAGCCCGTGCGGCAAATGCTGGGGAAGAGGATGCTCTATTTGGGGTGTTGTTTGCGAGCTTCTGTGCAGTGGCGCAGCAATGGTTGTCTGAGGCGATTGCGGAGCAGGAGACTGTCGCGTGTTGGATTTGAATGAGTTCAACAACCCCATGGCATGCGGGTTGAGGTTAGGCGCAGGCAACTTTGAAGCAGGGGGTATAGCGGGCCTTCCGTTGCCGCCTGTAAATGGGGCGTCGCCCATGTTCTGAGCCAGCTGTGGGTTGCGCTGGTCAAACGCATGTTGCATAGTCGGTGGCTGAGGTCCGAACATGGAGCCTGGATGTTGGGGTGGGCTTTGCATAAACTGAGGCGGCATATGTGCGTGTGGCATGCCGCTGTAGTGTCCCGAAGGCCCTTGGGGTGTGAAGAACGACGGTGGAGGACCCATGTTCTGCATCTGGGGCGGTCGGGGATGATGCTGGCCATGGGGGCTTGACGGCTGCGGAGGCGCAGACATGATCTGCTCGAACGGCGTCCGAGGCTGTTGACCCCCTCCAGGCTGGGTATTGCCCTGCTTGAACAGTGCCAGGAGAGGGTTGGCCTGTGGGTTCGGGGCGGGATTGCTAGGCGCTTCCACTGCAGGCGAAGGCACGCCCACACTGAGTAGCCGCTTCAATGCTTCGGCGGGATCCTGGCTTTGTTGTGGCGCCTGCAGCTCTTGGGACAATTCGGGCAGGGAGTCGCTCGGGCGGTGGCCACGACCTAGCTGGGCCACCATGTTGGCAAAGTTGTTGTTTGATTCGTCGGCCGTTGTATCGTAGAGGGCAGGTTGAAGATCCTCGTCATCTGTGCCTGCTATTGGCGCCGCCGCCATGTGCGCGCTGTTCCGTGCCCTCTGCCTCCCGAGCTTGCTTTGTTGCTTTATCCACTGCTTCAGCGGCCCGAGAAATGGCGCAACCATGTAGAAGCTGCTTTCTTTGATCATATCCTGGCCATTGCCCTGCTGCATCTGGTTCTTGCGCCTCAGCGTGGGCAGGTCGGTGAGCTTGTACCAGCCAATCTTTGAGATTTCCTTTCGTGTACGCGGCTCGAAATGTGTGTCCATGGGCACGCCGCGGAAGACGTAGAGCATCATGCTCTGCTCGCGCATTGTGACGGTAATCTTCTTCATGTTCTCATCCGGCTCCACCAGGTCAGCCTGCCTAAGGTCGTAGCCCGTCTCCTCCCAGACTTCGCGGACGGCGCAATCGAGGTCCGACTCTTCCTTGTTGATCTTGCCGCGGGGAAAACTCCACTTGGCACCCTTCTTCCAGCCCTTGACGAGGACGGCGTGCGTCATCTCTTCGTTGAGCATAATGGCCCCGCGCACCGGGACCCGCGTCTTGTAGGCCAGAAACTGCTCGTAGGCCTGCTGGTGCAGCTGCTCCGAGTAGGCCGAGAAGAGCGGGCAGTGCTGGAACATGAGCTGGGAAAACTTGCGCAGGTGCATCGAGGGGAGGTTGTGGGGGTCGAGCGGGCGGATGAAGTCTTCGTAGAACCATTGGGCCTCCTCGATCTGGAAGCATATTCGCTCGACCGACTGCAGCTCTTCATTGGGTAGGTTGACGATGAAGCGCACGCAGAGATCGTCGAGCCAGTCAACTAATGTCGTGTTTGTGGATGTCATGGTGTGTGTGGTGGGATATTTGGCCCGTGTCGAGCATGCCGCGGGCAGCTGGAGATGGCAGGCGTCGCAGGGCGGCGAGGGCAGGCGGCGGGCGGGCGGGCGAGCGAGCGTTCTAGATGCGGCGACGGGGGAGCGAATGCGCTGCACAGCCGCAAATAATGGCGGGGAGGGTTGTTGTTGAGGCGCGTGGTGTTGATGCTAGAGGGCTACGTCGTGGCTGCTGGTTGGGCGCCGGCGGAGGCGATGGACGGGAGTGTGGCGGCGGCGGGTGTGGCTGTGGCTGTGCTTTTAAACCACCGCTGACGCCGTCCTAGTGCGAGTGCTGGTATGACGTTGCCGGCTGTCGATCGCGTCACAGAAGAACAATCAGGGCAGTCGAGCGACTCACCGCCGCCGCCGCCGCTGCTGCAGATGCATTAAAAAAGGCCCAGGCCGTCGCTTTCTTTTCGTCGCTCCTTTACCTGCCAACCCCTTCGCAGCATCTGCCTTTTCTTCTGCTTGGCGCTCGACCGCTATACATAGGCCAGCGACGCGCCCGTTTCACATTTCCCCACGCAGAGCGCCCGCAGCCAACCACGCCCTCCGCCTGCTCTGAGACAGCCGCAGTGCAGCACCACGTCAAAGGCCGCCCTCGCACTTCAAAGACATACATATAGGCCGTTCTGAGCGTTGCTGCAGGCCTGTATTCAGAGTCGCCTGGACATTTACCCCAGCCCCTTTTACGCTCCCGCACATTCACATACCCCGCCAACATGGCGAACCTCGTCGCCAAATACGCCATGAAGAAGGCGCTGGGCAAGGAGATGGAAAAGTACAAGTCCAAGAGCGCATCTGGGCCCTATGTAAGTTGGCCATCGCCCTGGCTGCATTCCCTGCAGTACTAACCACTGCAGGATCCCTTTTACGAAGAAATCCCCCACCCCAGGAAGCCGGGCAAGACGAAGAAGGTCAAAAAGGAAATCCCGAGCTACATCCCCTCGCACGACGCAAACATCCTGGCCAAAGCCCGCAAGAGTGCCTACAGGCTCGACTATGCTTTGTTTTCGCTGTTCGGCATTCGCTTTGGTTGGTCGTCGGTCATTGGTCTCGCCCCGGCAGTCGGCGACGCCGCCGCCACGGCCCTGACGCTCAACCTCATCCGCCAGATGATGAAGGTCGAATGCGGACTACCCGCCACGGTCATCCTCATGATGTTGATTAACACGGCCATTGATTTCCTCGTCGGCCTGGTTCCGATTCTCGGCGATCTTGCCGATGCAGCAGTCAAGGCCAACGGCAAAAACGTCCGCCTCCTCGAGGAACATCTCGACAAGGTCTACAAACCCAAGGAGCTGATCGAAAAAGAGGCTCGCATGCCAAGGGAATCACGGCCTCGCCCTGCATCGGTGTATGTTGACTTTGATGACGAGATCGACGAGCGACGCAGCCCCTTCAGCGACGAGCATGGCGACGTTCGTCACCCACAGCGCTCCTACCGTGGTGAGCGCATGCGAGACGAGGAGATGGGCTACCGCCAAGATACGTATCGCTCGCACAGAGACGACAGGCCCAGCCGACACAATACCAGGAGTAGCAGACGCTAAAAAATCTTTCCTTGCGTTCCATTCGTCAGCTTCAACTTTCCTTTTTCGGTACTAGACTGGGCCCCGGCACATTGCACACATGTTACAGTCTTGGCGTTACAGTTACTATACTCTCCCTAACACTATACCCCGAGTTTTTTGTTGATTGTACACAACAATGTCACGTATATTCTTTGTAATCTCACCTTGTACCTCGCGCGTCCCTAGTCTGGATTCTATTGGACAATGGCGTCTTGCGCATACCTCATGGTGGCCAGGCCGTGCCTATCACTTTTTTCATGTTACCCTCAACATTCATTTCGCTGCCGAAGCGCGTGATTGAATAGTCTCTTATGTTCGAGTACCAACTACTCTCGCCGGCTAGACTGTGCACAATACCACAATCCCACAATCTATTCATGCTCCATCCGTTTGCTCATGCAGGACCGTGCGCTCTTCACCACGAGTAGTCATTTCGACTATCCGAGTACTAGCGATATATTTCTCATCCTCTCCTTGACTGCTCTCACAAACTTGCCATAACTGCTTTACCAACATTAGTTCAATACAACAATGTATGTTATGATACCTACTACACAACGCACAACCTTAACGCTCACAGCTCCAACCATCATGATGCGCCGCCTACTCGTCCCCTTGGTGCTAACCATGCTCCTCTACGCCCTAACAGTCGCCGCCGTAGCCCCAGCCTCTGCGCTCGTCATCGCGCTCGAGAGCCCTGACGACTACATCAACAACGCGGCCCCCCTCCTCTTCACAGCCCCCACACGCAACCCCCCAAACGAAGCCCTCATCGCCATCGCCAACACGCCCACGCAAACCCTCACGAAAACCGCCCAAATCAGGCAAACATGGCTTCCGAGCGCCCCTAAAAACCCAATCTTAATTTTCCCCTTTCACCTCACCCTCACGCGGTCCTGCTCCGACAACGACGACGAAAACAGCATCTCAGCACTCGTCCGCAACGGCGACTTCACCACCTCGGTCGTGCATCTCAGCGCGGACACGAGCGCCATGGTCGAGCACAGGATACCCGGGTATCCGTCAGCGTTTCGGGTTGGGCCGTTTGATGCTGAGAAGGGGGGCGTGAGGTTTTTGTGGGAGAATGCCGAGGGTGGGTGGGTGAGTTGCGGGTGGGGGGATTGGGAGGAGACGAGGGGTGGTTGTGGGGGGTGTAGAGGTGGGGCGGGGTGGATTGGGATTAGGGAGGCTGGGGGAGTTGGGGTGGATGAGGAGGAGGAGGAGGAGGAGGAGGAGGAGGAGGAGGAGTGTGGTGTTAAGGTACGTGACTATTTCTTCTTCTTCTTGGATTAGAATGGGGATGTTGATGCGATGTGATGCGATGAGCTGAGCTGAGCTGACGGCGCCAGATCAAGGAAATGGATTGCTCATTCATACTCGGGTGGAAAAGCCAGTTTCGCGGCAAGGCTGTTGCTACTGCTGCTGCTGATACCGGGGAGGCGGATTAGGAACGAGGGTGGTGAGATGCAGAGTGCGGAAAGGAAAGAAAGGAAAGGAAGGAAAGGAAGGAAAGGCGTGGTAGAGCTGGGTAGTCGGTGTGCGTGTGTCGCACATGGCAAGATGGACATGGCTATTGTCTTTGCCGCAAAGACTGAACTGAACGATTGACTATGCTGCTATGGAATGCGATGAGCGGAGAAGATGATGCGGATACACGAGAAAGCGATGAATGCGCTCCCTCTGAGAAATGGAAAAGAAAAAAGCCCGAATGCTGCAAATATCCATCCATCTTGCGCCATGTTGGCTTCGCTCCTCATCCTCACTCTTAGCCCCTGCATCAACAACTAATGCCAAAGACCCAAGAATAATGATAGTAATCATAATAATGCATGTCTTTGATTCATTACTTGGGTATAAATGTTAAAAAAAAGAGAGTCCCTCCATGCATTGCTCAACTCTACCAAGTTCGCCACCCTCCGCCATGAAAACAACAACCACGAACCAGCTCGTCGAACGAGGAACAAGATGGCCAAATCCCCATCACTTTGTTAAAGAAGAAAGAAGTAGTATTAGGTAGAGAAAAAAAAAGGTTCATAAGACCCCGGCATTCAATGTGCATGGGGAGTCTGCAAGATGCTATTTTGAATCATTACAACAGCAATCTCTCTCACACACACTCTCTCTCGCTTAATCAACGACGACGCCCTTGCCGCCGACCTTGACTCTGGTGTACTCTTCGTCGTCGTCACTGTCCCAGTAGACGGAGCGGCGCACGGGCTTGTGAATGCGGACGCACCACAAAAAGTAGTCCTCGAGGGCGAGCAGGTTGAGCAAGAAGGTGTTTCCGGTCCAGGCGAGGCCGCAGACCATGGCGCCCGCGACGGCGTCGAGGATAAAGTGGTTTGCGGTTGCGACAATGGCGATGAGAATGATGGCTGGATATGCCACGCCTACGAGGACGCAGAGGAAGCGGCGGAGCGACGGGACGCGCATGCGCAAGCCCATGGTGATGGGGATGGTGCGCGAGCGGTTGTGTTGCGGGGCGAGGGGGATGGACATGATGGTGAGACCAATGAGAAGCGAGTATCCAAAGTGCAGCGACGGCATGGCAGCATATTGGTTGCAAAACTTGTTTTGGGTCCACACACTGCTTTCGCCCTCGGCGCCGTGCACAGTGTCGACGAAGCCAAAGCTACGCGCCTCCTTGCCCACTTCTCCTGGGACGTCGGGGTCGGAGAGAAGACGCGGCGGCATGCAGGGCCAGAGGGTGAATACAATAAAAGCAATCAGGTTGCACGTGGCCATGGTTCGGCGCCTTGCAGCGTAGAGCTTGGGGCCTGCCGGGCTTCCGTCTGTCTCGCCTATTTGCTTGTTGTGGAGGGGAAGATGGATGCGGTTGCGCGTGGTCGTGTAGTAGTAGAGGCACACCAGGAACAAAATGGTACCGGGGATATGGATGAAGGAATAGGTGCGGTTGGTCCAGTGGAGGAGGAAGGGGTGCTTGAGAAACCATCCTTGGACATCGAGTTCGAAGAAGATGTGCAGGCGCTGTTCAAGATGGATGAGTTGCAGAGCGTGACGGCGAGCGACATTGACAGTGCCTTCAACCATGGTCACGGCGGTGAAGGCGCGGCCGAGCTGGTAGACCTGAGCGACAGTCAGCATGGTGCTATCCAGACCATTGCAAGTTGGCGTACCCAGTATATCAGTGCCCAATACCAGGCCTCGACCAAAAAGGGAAACTTTCGCAGCAGCCGCGACAGGAAGTAATCCTGGAACCGCTTTGTGTTTGGGGACATGACTTGTTTGCGCAAGCCCAAAAGCACCAGCTCGCGTTTCCGCCATGGCGGCTCTTCGTCGACATTTGCCAGCAGCGATGCGCTGGACGAGGGACTGGAGCGACCGGAAGCAGGCGAGGCTGACCGGGGCGAGTTCTGATAGACTCTATGGCGGCCAAACAGGCGGTACTCGGTGTTGCGGTTTAGCCAGGTGCCGCCAAAGAGAAGGGTGACGACGACGAGCGGTTCTATGAAGGCTCCTGCGCCCATGGTGTGCTCTTTGGCGTAGTGCGATATCCGGCAGAGAGAGGGAGGGTATAGGACTTTGGAGAGCTGCGAGTGGGTTTTAAGAAAGGGCCGACGTCACTGGTGCCTGGGGTGCTGCTTGTACTTGTAATGCAGAGATGACGATGGACCGAGTAAGCAGACCAGCGAGCAATGCAGGTATGGGTGGGCGGCAGTCTGGGGGCGCCGCGCGTGAGGCGGCCAACTTGGTACGCCCGGGTGAAGAGGCAGGGCTGGAGGCAGTGGCAGCAAAGGGTCGGTATGGAGGTGGCGCAGAGGGAGCAGATAGGAGGATGGCAGAAGGATGAGGCCGATGGCATGGCAATGGCAATGGCAATGCCGATGCAGACGGGAGCGCTAGAGCAGAATGCATGGTGCATAATGGTGAAGTCAACGGAAGACGCGGCATGCGGGCGTGACTAAGTAAACAGCCCTGGGTGGAGGCGTGGCCGGACGACGAGGTTGCTCGCTCTCTGCCTGCATTTGCACGAATAGCCGCCTTTCTGGCCTGGCGGCCTTGGCTAGCGAGCCGTGCTGGAGGCCGGTGATTCGCTCTCGCGGTGCGTCATGACTGCTTGCCATGTTTGGTAGCTGTGTCTTCGCGGTGCTGCCCTGCGCCTGCAGAGATAACGGCGGCCCAAAGCCTCGCCCCGCAGCCTCTAGACTGTACCCTCACCCTTTTTTTCCCTCTCTCTCTCTCTCGCAGCAATGCATGCACACATGCTCTCGCGCGTCCTGGCGCCCGGCAACGGGCTCGATGGCGGCGCTGCATGTCCATGGGCGACGTCATATGGGGTGTGGGAGTCGAGGGCTGGGCGCACGCGGCCAGGCGCGCCCCAAGGTTTAGCTTCCGCCGACGCCCGCAGCACTAGTCCGGTTTGGTCCGAAAGTGGCAGGCTCGCTCACGTGACGTCTGCCAGGCTTCGTCCGTCGACTCTCGGGGGCCATTCACGCTCGCGGCTCGCGCCCTCGCGAGATGGCCTGCGATTACCTCAGCACCCAATCGCCGCTCTGCACGTATCCATGCCCGCCCTGTTTTTCGTCGCCTCGTCCAGTCGCACGGCAGCGAGATGCGCCTGGACGCCCTGCCGCGCTGTTGTGGTTGAGCATCTGGCACACACACACACATGGTCGCGCCGCATGGACAGTACACCCGGTATTCCTCAAATGGTATTATTGGATTATGGCAAAGGCCAGGCAGCGAACGCCCCGCCGTCCCCGCACGCCCACCCCGTCGACAGTGCGCGTCGATCCATCATCACAGTCAACCCCGTCCTTCGTCTACCCGCCCAGGGACCCGCTGCCATGTGCAGTGAAGCCATCAGTCTTTCGCAGCCAACCCAAACAATGCATGCAACAAAGGAAACGAGCAGCGCCCCATGGATGCGACAAGCAAGACTGCAAGCCACTGTGAACATTCCTTGACGCCTCGCTCAAAAGACCCAATTTATGGCCAACCCAAAACAAGCATGCACAGTGAAAACCAAAAAGAACCCGCCTCGCCACACCCGCTGTATGCGACCCGCCTTGCTTCCTCCCTAGCACCCAACATTGGTAAACGGCGCGCTCTCCTGGAGGTCCTGGACGAGCGCGTCCACGTTGTTGAGGTATTTGCCCAACATGTGCTGCTTCTCCGCTTGCGACCGTGTGTGCCTCCTGATGCCCTCCGCCCCTTCGTCGGCGCTGTTCCGCCGGTCCATGGCCGCCGCGACCTTGGTCCGATTCCGCTGCGCGCCCGACACGGGCACTTCGGGCATCAGGTAAAAGTACAAAAACTCGAGGAGCTTGACCTTGACCCCTTGCGTCGTCTCCTCGTCCTTGAACAGGCTGGTGACCGTGAGCAGGCCATCCATGTGCTCGAATATCCGTGTGTTTTGCGGTGTCGCCAGGAGCGCCGACACCAGCACCAGCAGCGCTTGCGACTGGATCGCCGGGCAGTTGTACGGGTCGAGGAGGTCGAGGAGCAGGTTCATGTACACCTCGCGGCCGAAGATGATGCGCGACGGCGGGTGCAGGAGGAGCAGGCCTTGCATGTTGGATAGCGACGAGAGGATGAGGATGTCGTTCTGCCCGTCTGCCGTGGCGGTTAGCTCTCGTCCATGGCCTGTACGCGCGCATTTCATACCTTTGCTGCTGCCCATGCCCAGCAATCGATCTAGGCAGTCGGCCACGCGCGTCACAACTTAAACATTGTCAGCCTCTTGTTCCTCCGCGTGTCTCACTCAGCTCACCATTCCATTCAAACCCCTCTTGCAAGCGGAAGAACTCTCGGAAGGCGAGATCGTCCGACAGCTGCCCCAGCTTCTTGGGCGTCGCCTGCTGTTGCTGCTGCTGCTGCTGCTGCTGCTCCCCCAGGCTGATTGCTGAAGCATTCCGGCGGTGCGCTGGTGTGCAGGGCTTCGACTTTCCGCTCGAGAGGCAGATCTGCGCCAGCATGCCCTCAATCTGCCGCAGCCCCTTGCGAATCTTTTGCGTATCCTTGGACGCAATGTTGTCGAAAGCAAGGGATAAGAGGGCCTCCATTTCGTGTCGGATTGGTGAGTCGGTCGCGGCGGGGTCGGGGGCAGCTCTTAGCAGCTGCTCATGTAGGCGGTGGCGGTGGATCTGGCCGAAAGGTTGCTGGGCGGAGGTGAAACGTCGAAGCTATGCAGGAGTCGCGAGGAGGGTCTGGCGAGGGTGCTGACAGGCCGTTCAAACTTTCTTTTTGCGGTGAAGCCCTTAAGGACCGCCACACGCTATGTTGCTCGTCGATGATAGGGCCGGGGGCCGGGGTCTTCTGCGACGTTGTATCATCGATAAACACCCGCCGTTGCTGGGGAGACTAGCGATCCGCTGAGCGCGGCTGCACCCGTGCGCTACTAGTCTGGGCGCCCATCTCAACCCCAACCGCGCGCTCCATCTTACCCGACAACCGTACCTTGTCGCCACACGCCTTGTTTTGATTTGCCATGGCCCCGACTTGTGCGGGCATGAATCCGTCCAAATTGCACTCCCCGCCGCCAGCTCGCCGCCAGCTCGCCGCCAGCTCGCCGTCGCCCTGTTGACGTCATGTGCGCCTTCCAGAGTGCCCGCCCATCGTCTAGTACCACCGAGCGCGAATACACATGCCGCCTGGCCCAGTACCACCGAGCGCAAACACACACGCCGTCTGGCCCAAGGCTGAGCCAAGGTGCAACACCCATTTGCCGTGGCGAGTGAGCAGTGCCGTGGTGCTTCACCGGCATCTGCAACCTTGGCCCGGCTCCCCCAGCTAAACCACATCGGCTGACCGCGCGCCCACCACGGCCACTCACACCGCGGCGCCAGGCTGCGACACCACCTTCCTTCGCGCTTCACGCCCACGGCTCCCTCGAATATGCAGCCACCAGAATGCGTCGGTACCGATTTCGCATCAGGCAGACTGCCAGGCCCGGTGCGGTGCGCCTGGCACCACTCAGCCTTGCCAGTCCCATCTCTCGTGCACCTCAGCTTGTTCTCTCATGCCTCGTCGCTGCTTGACCTATCGCTATCTCGTTCGCTCTTCATCTGCCATATACTCTGGGTGAGAAATATTGTTGACAAGGCTGCCTCTTACAAGGTCGGACCACAGCCACGGCCCGTCCCTGGATTTCCAACATGCTGCCGAGACCGCACGACTTTCAATCATTTTGCCTCCTGCTGCACATCATATCCCTCCCCATTCGCTTCGTCCTCATCGCGCCGACTGTCATCTACCAGGGACACGTCATAAACCAAGACTTCCTCGTGCGTCATAACGCCGTGCTTCATAACGGCACCTACACCCAAGCCATCGTGATCGGAGAAGACCTTGCACAAAAATGGGGAATCTGGGCCTTCTTCTGGAACCTAGGAGCTTGCATAATCGCTCTCATTCTACAGCCGCCCTTGCATATACCCCTCACGGGTGTCGACTTGTTCATTACCATCGGTTTGTCGCATGCCACATATGCCCAGAGGACATATATCCCGCAAAGTACGAAGGCGTGCTACAACCCGTCTACTCTGCTCAACCAGCGGCCTCCAGGCGCCAATGAAAGCTTCTTTGCTGCTGCTGCGAGGCTCAACGGCACTGTCTCGACTCCGACCAGGATATGCAAGGCTTTTGTGGAAGAATGGCAATACGGCGTCTCTTTATGGTGAGCTATACGCAAAGATACCTTGTAATACCCTGCTGAGAACAACAGCTTCTTCTATGCCTTGCTCTCCTTCATGGGCATGGTCATCTTTTTGGGCACCATGCGCAACCTCAAACAGCAAATTTTGACCTTGGCTAACACGATCAAGGTTTGCGTCATAGCAATTGGCAAATGCTTCTTGTATATGCCTCGGCTATTGATATTCATGTTCCCGTGCCTCCTGTACCACACTCCAGTCTTCTTCTTCCGAGGCTCTCCCATGAAAGTAAAGGGCCCGGTCCGAGCAGCGCGTCGGTATACCGTGAAAACAGCATTGGGTGTCGAGCAAAAGGCCGAGGTTGCGCTGAAAGAGCTCCAGACAGAGCTTGCCAAGAGGAGAGAGAATGTTGGAAGGTACCAAGGGCCGCCGGGAAACCCCACGCCGCTGGCAGACTTCCTAGGTGTCTACGACATGCTCATCATGGTCGACATGTACCTCCATTACGTCGACGTCCTCAACCTAGCTGCCGTCTCCAGATCGGTTCGCGAATCCGTCCTTCCCGCCACCGATCTGCACCGCCGCCTCACCGTCTTCAATCAATACACCTGTTGCGACCGAGAAAGAAGGCGTTGTTGGGCATGCCCAAACCAGACATGCGCCGGGTGCTACCAGCTCCCTCTGGTTCCCCAAGTGCCAGTAGTATACCACTTGGAACAGTGTGTACCCTACTGCACGCCTTGCTACTACAAACACGTTGCCCACGCTCAGCCCAAGAAGAAAAACAAGTACAAGAGCGCGCGATGCAAATGCGCTCCCAATCCTCCTGAGCAGCAACCAAATTTCTACCAGCGATACATTGACATCCTCGGCACGCCCAAGAAAACACAGCGCAGTCTCGAGACGCTTCCCAGGTCCGTTTGCCGCGAGTGCAACAAGTTGACGAGCGAAGAGCTAGTGGCGAAGAAGACGGAGGCTGCAAAATCCATGTTGATGAAGGGTCTGAAGAGCGATGGTGAAAAGTGGCTCATATGTGCCAAACAGGGCTGTGGCAATCGTCTTGGCTCAGGGCCCAGGTTTTGGATTTGTCCAAAGGCACGATGTGGGGGAGAATGCATAAGTACTCTGCATCAAGCGTGGGGCGAAAGCAGAAATGGGGGAGAAGATGAGATTGTTGGAGACGAATCTGTCTGATAGGAGCCCTTTGAGCTCGAATGTACATGCTATCGTTCGGCTACCAATCTCAGCAATCTCAACCATGACCGTGGCAAACATGCCGGCAGTAAGCGCCATAGCCTTGCCAATGTGGTTACTCGCCGCACCCTCTTACTCTGTACATACTCTAGCACGCCGCTCTACGTCGGCAACACCCATTCCCATTCTTAGTCTACACATCCTCGACATCCCCACCAGCAATCGTCATCGCATTCCCCGTATACAGCACAACCCCAAGGCCCCTAAGAACACCTCTCGCCCCTCGCCCTCGCCCCTTCAACTCTCAAAAAAAAAAGTATCCAAAACCTACATATGAAGCATCCTTCCTTCAACAGCTACAACCATGGCGCCATACCGCCCTGCTAACCCACCCACCGACTCGACATGTCAGTAGTAGTGGTAGCACCAAAATGAAGCGTCGCACGTGTATGATTCGCCGTACGTAGTTGGTAGGATGCTAAACCGTCTCTCTCTAACTATACAGGTTTCATATCTTTCCCGCATACCCGGGGGAGCGCCATCAAGACCTGCCCAGGCCCATCCCTTCATCTTTCTAACTCCCATCTATGTTACCGCTCTTCATCCGAGATAATCATGGCACACACATATATCTCCGTCGCAGCAACAACAACGTGTCGCGCATTAAAACCGCTACTCTCTCTCCTTTCTCTCGGAACGGGGAAAATTAGACGTAGAGAACAAAATTGCCGACTAAGCTGCTCCAGGCAGTGGAGGAGGCGTGCTAACCTTGAGTTTTAGAATCGCTACTGCAGTACTTCTTCTGTTAGCACACATATCTTGGACATAATACAGCTTGGACATATCTAATTTAGGTGTCGTGGTGGGCGGCACGTTGTTCTAAAAAAGAGCTGCTTTTGGCGGTGGGTGAGAGAGAGAGAGCCCGTTTTCCCTGTTCTGAGAGAGCGGCAAGCTTCTCCACCACCACGACTCACACCCCCTCCATGTCTTGAAACTTGTACTGATGCAATGTACCGCCAGCTATTCCCATCGCGCGTGGTCATTGTAGGATAATTACCGCGTATGCGGTTGTCGCAGTCGCGTATCTACATTGAGATGAGTACGGATGTGAGTGTGTACGACTCCCACTACGCAGAGAAATACCACCGTACTCAAACGCGTTGACCCGCTTAATGCGGAGATATGCTGCTCACTAAGCAGCGCGCATCTAGAGTACGTCTCGATATGCGCGCCCGGCATCAGATTTGGGCGGATGCACGCGCGCGACAACATGCGGGTGTGGTTGCTGGATGGCGCAGTGGGTGGAGGTGTGATGCGACGCCTTGATGGGGGGCGGGGTGTTAAGCGAGGGTGGGGGCGGAAGGGTTCCGCGCAGCCTCTCTTTGTACGCACCACCTCATGGTGCGCGCCAAATAGCCCCGGATGAAATAAAAAAGCCCCACCCTATCAATGCAACACGACTATCGACTCAGAGTTGATTAATCAATTATGTATTTGAGGTGGCCGGTCTGTATGCGCAGTGTTTATAGAGAGACTGCGACCTTCTCTCACATTTTATTTAGCAATTTCCCCCTCTTTCGCTGCTTTATCTCCTGTCGTTTTCTCCTTCTTTTTCCCCCTTGTCTTCACGAAAAAGATTGTCGGCGGCAATATAGTCGCAATATAACATCGATAGCAAGCGCAGAAACCAAAGCCTTTTGTCATGTTCATGACTTTTAGTTGCTTGTTTGGGTAGAGTAAATAGCGTCGTCCGTCAAGCGCTGATTTCTAGTCCTTGCCTGCTGCAATACCGCTTCGCTGAAAGGGCTGCAATTTAAGATGGAACCAAGGTGAGAACGTGCTGGGTAGGGATCGCTGGGGAATAAAGGAGATATTTGGTCACTATAAAGACATGTTGAGAACTACTTACTCGGTCGCATCCAAGGAAGATAGTTGCTGCGAAAACCTGTTGTTAGTGTGATGGATATTGATGCAGATATTGCGGAAAGAAAATGTGGGTAAGAATGAGCCTCCAGAGCTTGCGCAGAGCATGTTTGCGCAAGTCGTCGTCCGCCTCCGAGGACAATGTCTTCTGCGTCGCGTTCTCCTTCTCATTTGCCTTGGGCTGAATGGAGTCGCTGGCCCCCGACTTCTCTACTTCTGCAGACTCTGCAGGGGCTTTGAGCAACCGTGCGTCTTGTTTCCCCGCCTTGGTTTTCTTAGAGACATTGGTCCACCATTTGCTTTTCTGGATGTTGGCTATTTTGGGTGGAATCTTCCTAGGACTAGGTGCTGGTCTTCGAGCTTTGACTTGGAATGCGTGCAACGTTGCAGCCTCTTTGAACCACAGCTTGCTGACTTTGTAGTCGTAAAACTGGTCTCCAATATGCCCATATTCAGCTTTGAGAGGATTGAGCGGGTGTGTGTACTAAAATAGAAGCAAATATTCTCAGGATGAAGCAGGCGGCCGTTGTGCTGATATCCTAGCGATCCTTTACTTTACAACTAGCTAGCTCGTCCACGACATCTCAATCATATTTAAGATGACTTGTTTGACGTTTATCCGAGTTGTCTAGAAAGTGTGTTGTCCCTTTCATTGTAGCTTTAGCTGTGGAGTATGATTAAATAAAACATTGCCTATTCTCTCCAGTGTGTAAAGGTTTGCAAGGGAAGAAGTAGCGGTAGTTAAGTAGTCGTCGCGCAACCCCTTAAGGGGTGCCTATTAAGTTGCCATCAGATTAGGCAAAAATTTAACCAAAAACGAAATTGCTCAGTAGTCTTAACGTTTGGGAATGCTAAAGCTTTTGTCAAGGAGTAGGCTACGGATACTCCTACAATAGTATAGACTGAGATAAGACTCCTATAAGTACGACAGAGGAGTACACCTGAATACCCCCCCCCCAAGCAATACAAAACTTTTTGGCACCTTACAGTCTTCTGATAGGGATCGTACCGTAACAGCTTTGGCCACTTAGAGCTAAGTAATGAATTACGAACTTTATTTATTCTCCTTATTTCTATACCTAGTAGGTAATAGGAACCTTTTTAAGTTTGACGATTAATGATTAGTAGTAATAACCATTCTCTTTCGCGGAAAACAAGAAAAACTAAAAGTTTGTAAGAGTTCTAGAGCGTATAAGCATTGCATGATCTAGGTAGTAGTCTACTTGGGAAGCCTGCTAATACTTATGGCCATGAATACTACTACAGCAGCTACTTCTCACTATAGAAGCTGTCTACCACTCCTACAGCGAAGGCTTCCCGCCGCCGCCACCACTACCACTGTGGCGGCTGCATACTACCAAAGCTATCACTACAGCTGCTATTGCTGCTACTACGTAATATGAGAACATGAATTAGTATTGAAAGCGGGATCCTCCTCCAATGCTTTTAACAAAGTAAGGCCTGTTTGTACTCGTGGATATGTTACATAGCATGGAAGAAGTTCTCCCCTAGACATGGCTGCATTTTATGTTGTGGGCCAATGATTCTTGCGTCCCTAGGCTTCCTTGCAGTTCTTCGTACGGCTGAGTGTGTTAGATCGCTCATGTATTCTAGCCTCTAACCAACCAGCAAAGTTGGGGGCATGAAGAGATTGCGGGCAACCGGAAGACAAGGACGATTTAGAGCTGCTAGGCGTGGTAGGGGAGGTTGTCAGTACAATCTACAAGGGGAAGCAAATGACCACTCTCGAGCTATTATTGAAGTCTCACCGGTCTAAAAGGATGAATGAACCGTGTATAGTGTATACAATTCATCACGCGACGTTGGGGAAAACCAAAACTGTCAAATCCCGCGTCAGACTACAGCGACTTGGCAACGATAATGAGTTGCCACTCAAACGTTATGTCTAAAATCGGATAATGACTCACATAGATGAATAGCGATCCATGTCATGGAATACCGGTGTTGTTACCTTAACTATAGGGCATCGCAATCTCTACGTTACTACAACAGATCAATCATTCCTACACGATTGATTCGTGTTGATACGCACTATGTTGGAATATTTCTTCTGCCTGCAAAACTACATCGAAGACGTCACAGTAACGCTGAAACAAAAGATTGACACGACTGCTGAGACACGAGGCAAGACGTGAATGAAATCTAAACGGGATCATTGGGCGTGAAAGCACATGGGAGAAGAGGGGAGGCATTGGCTGGGATCTGTCAATTATTCAGTTGACCCCTAGAATTCGGACCGAGGTTTTTTATTGCTTGGCTCCATGCTAGAGAGGGTGGCTAGGGGTATACCATTGAATACATGCGCTTGCCAACTTGCACGAAAGTGTCTGCCTCTCTCGGGACTTGAAAGGCCGGAAATAGAGAATAAGGAGCTCTCTCTAATAAAACACGGTATATTCAATATGATAAAATGGTACGATAACACTTGAATATGGAGAGTTGAGAGGGTAAAATGAATGAGGAGGTCCTGAATAAGGATACAATGGAAATTGAAATAGGTACGCTGTTGTTTATCTATGTAGCTACTGTTGAAGCTGATAGCGAAGTTGCACGCACCAACTGAAACGGCTTAGTTTGCAACTTTGCTGATCTTGATTAGTGACTTTCGCAGTTTGGTGAGTGTGTAATTCATGAGAAAGGAGATTTTGTTCATCATCTGAGACTGGTGCTCGAGCTTGAGAAAGGCAATGGTTGATGGTAGCAGTGATTTTAGATTAATGGGCAACAAGACAGACTTGATCTTGTTGAAGGGAACAAAGATGGCATCCAAGGAAAAATGTGAGACTGTTAATAGATTGGAAAATTAATTGTGTGGCCGTGGGGTAGCATGGTTGCGAGAATGTGTGTCAGTCCATGTGCAAGGTTGAAAAGTCATGCGAGGATTCGCTCTACCGCATCCACCGGTGAATGCCGTATCCAGAGCTTATGGCCTAGATGAGCAGAGTAAGTGAGGAACCATTGCGGAATTGACATCAGACGGCATGTTAGTCCGCGGTATAAGCGCTGAAACTCGAATTACAATGTGCCATAGAATGAGACGTGTTCACATTTCTGCAAAGGGCCTGATGTATTATTGAACGGTTATTGCGTGGTTGAGCTGTTTGAAAACAAGCATGGTAGAAGGTTACCCAACATGCAAACAGGCACCAACCCTTGGGATATCTATCGAATGTGTGGAGAAACATGCGGCGTTTCAAACGCTCTGCAATGCACGAGACGTTAAAATTAAGGATGTGAAGCATCATGTGCGACAATTCAAGGTGAAATTATGTCACAGGCATGCATGTCGTAATGCATATACTTAAAACTCTGAAAAAAGAAAAAACTGGTGATGCAATATTGCATGTGGTTCAGAATGATTGCACATGGACAGATGAAGACTCATGACGGTACGTAGTGATGGAACTGAGGTGAGTTGCAAGTGTACAGCCTCTGTGGTCTCTGCGAGTGGGCAGAAAGATGGCGTGCGAAAGGTCAAGGTGCCAAGGTAAAGCGACATGACCAGGTTGATGCTGCAAGCAGTGCCAGTCGATTTGCATTGCATCTTCTTACACGCCTTCCCATGGCTACGAAGGATGGTCTATCCTTTGGACTGGGGGATTGTGTGTTTGGTGTGCTGTGCGAGTCGGGGACAAGACATGAGCGTGCGTCTTATGGCGCTGCTGCCGAAGTCTCACCGAGCACCATGAAGTCAGCACACAAATCTGCGCTCTGCTTGGATTGATCTCTCCATCCATGTCCAATCTACCAAAGGATTCTCAGTAAATATGCACGCAGGAATCCACTGCTGTCCCGTGCATCTAGCATCACCATGGAAACGGATGCTCACGTCAGCTCGGCCGTATTTCGGGTGAATATAAATCTGAAACACAGTACGAGTAATCTCGCATTAGTCATGTTTCATGACTATCAGACGGCGTTTCAGCTTCGTACGACTTGTCAGCATGTCATGCAAGGGCCGTGCGTCTTGACGCGTCACCAAGCATTGCGCATTGACTAGGTGAAGATTCAAAGATCGATTTTCCGACGATTTGTGAAAGATAGCATACAAATGAAAGCAGGAGAGACGCATTTCTAGCGTCACGCTGATTGTTTTGAAACAATACTTCGACCTCGCACGCTACTGGTGGGGCGCAACCAATGCAGATCATGTGCGTAATCAACCAAAATTGAGGATACCAAAAGATAGGAGACAAGTTGATGACACTTTCCAGATGGTTGCCGTAGTAACGACAGAACAAATTGCTCCGGTTGCTATGGCAACATATTGAAAATCCCGCAGGTTCACCGACGCGCCTCAAACGCTTCCCATACTTCAGCATTGGGAAGCTGAAATACGGCACGCACTGCCTCGCGTTTGCTATGGCCTGTATATTGCGGCGCTTTGAAATGTTGTCTGTGTCCGCCATATTGTAACAGGTCACGTATGTTGCGATGCGTTGAACATGTTTGGTGTACTGTGGAAGATTCCAGGGATGGGATGAGTGGGGGCGCATTGAAAACATTGCATGTTACGCTGCCCGCCGGCTATGCTGTGAGAAAAGCCCACCAAGCTATCCCGTCTTGGGTCAAATTGTAACAGGATCCAGCAGCCTGAGCAAGCGCCCCCTTACGGGGTTACGTGACGATCGTTGGCAGGAGTCTTATACCAACGTACGGCCAATCTAGAAACTCTTTAGGAACATTACTGATGTCCTATAGGAACCCGTGACCCAGTCGCTAGCTTGATCCAGAGTGGCAACAGCATGTAACATCCGACAGACTGACCGACAACACACCATCTTCACTCAACCAGAAGACTCAACCGACTTCACCAGAGCACGCACCTCTGAGGCATGGGGTGCTGCAACATGAGCAAGATGTCCTTGATGCCATATGCCCTGTATACAACAATGATTGGAAGCATTCTGGACATCGATGGTGGCTCTTCAGAAAACACATAGAACCAATTAATACGATATACGAACGCGGAAATGGGCCACGCTCTCCAGACATCATGTCTTCCGGATGCAGCACTACATATTAAACTGTCGTACTTGGGAGGGTACAGATTCGAATGCTGGAGCAAGCACCATTTGCGTCTAGAAGAGAAACGATTCCTCAGTGCTACAGACAGGCGTGCGAAAACCCAATTGCAAAGTTCCGCTCACCAAAGAGTAGTGAGGAGATTTGCAGCGGCAATCGAAAAGGCAAATTCTTCACGAAAGCATAGCACTGCCCAAAGCACTACCCCATATCAGGGGCAAAGCGAATGAGTCGAGGGTCAACATTGCCATAGCATCTTCGATATGCTGGAGATGGACCGTGTCGCGTTCTTGATTCGTGACAGCATTCCACCCGGTGACTTTCAGTTTAAACGTTCCCGACAATATCCTGGTCTTCTGCAACGCTGCACCTCAGGACATCTAGTGGAACATTCCACATCTATAACATGTACAACAATCTTACCCTAATTCATGTCAGCGTCTTATGTGATATATGCATGTCATCACGTACAGACATCCTTGTCGGGGATAATAACCTCCACAACGACTTTTGGGGAGGTTTCAACGTGAGGAACGTATGCCACAAAGGTAGAATCATTGGCCTGTTCGCTCGCCAACGCACGCACAATCTGATGGTCAATGGAACCATCACCTACTCACGGTCGTATCTTAGAACAGACTGCAAATATGACAGCGCAATTGACATTGCACGGGTCAGCCAGGAACTCGCCACTCGTGCCTTGGGCTCTTGCGTCATACAGGACCGGGGAATCAAGACGGATTATCGTATTATTAGGTTGGATATGGATATGCAACCGAACTGCTTGGCGAAAAGAGTTCGATACATTACGGCGCAAACGACGAGCACTGGTTCACACAATGTACAGTTCAAGAGTTCGAAATGATCGATATGCCCAACGATCCAACTTCATCCATGGTATATTCTGATTGCGATTGATGAACATCGGTAACTAAGATTTTATAGTTCGCTGAACTGGTCAAGGAAATCACCCCGGCCTTCCATGACATTCGAAAAAATTGTGTACCCCACTTTGTCTAATAGCCAGAGATTTGTGTAGGTGCAAGAATAGCGATAGGAGTGCATTGGAACAATATCGAAATTCGTCCAATCCCCTAACAAGGTAATTTTTGAAGAAGCGTCGGCAAGAGGTGGATAAGCTATTACGAAAATCGGATCGCGAGTCATTCCGTTGATATATCATCACCTCAACCGTGTGACGCCCTTCTGGATATTTCAAATGGGCTCGCAAATCCGAACAATGGACTAAGCAAAGAGAGCCCGCTCGTTTTGCCACATTGCGAGAGGGTAGTGTTAAACACAGCACTCCAGCAGCAAAGGCAGATTGATTTGCAAGATCTACTTTGTCTCATGTCTGTCTGCAGGATCAAGCTCCCGAAGGACTTCCTACCCAGGTGCCAGAGCTACCGCGTAAACGCGAGCAGGTAGGATGCTTACGGCAGGTTGCGGAGGAAGAGGTTTTGAAGATCCTTCGTAACTTGCCTGGTGGCAAGTTGGCTGGACCTGACGGGATCGACATGGATATGCTGAAGCTTTCTCGACATGTTACCACCCCCTATCTCAACCGCCTATTTTCGGCATGTTTCAAGTACTCTACATATGCGGACGCCTGGAAACATGCGTGTACCTACGTTTTACGTAAGCCAGGCAGAAGCGACTACTCGGAACCGACAAGCTATCGTCCCATTGCCCTCCTCTCCCACCTTGACAAAGTTTTGAACGGCTGATTGCAAATTGTCTAAAGAATCATGCAATAGATAATTCTCTCCTGCCTGACATGCAATTCGGCGCACCTGGTGGCAACACTACCAAAGCTATCCAATATCTCTCGAACCCCATTTATCTTGGCTGGTCCCGTTGAAATGAAAGAAAAAGGAATGGAAAGGCTGAACTGTTGAAGTCCACGCTAATAGGCCGGGACATCAAAGTGCTTACGACCACATTGATCGAGCGAAGATTCTCCAAGTCTTAGCCGATTCATGATTACTGACTGGCTGATACACTTGACAGCATCTTTTCTCTCACAGAGAAGTACAGAGCTTGATCTTCGTGGTGAGCGTTCAGATCCTTATTGAGTAAACGTTGGCATACCACAAGAAAGCCCCCTATCCCTAGTCTTATTCTTGTTCTTTACCCCTCAGCTTTTCAGTATTTTGAAGGAAAAGCACGAGAATGCGACAGTGACAATTTGCACATACGTGGACCATACCTATTTTGAGCCCTGTTGCACAAAGAACTTATGGACTGGTCCCAGACTACTGGGATTCATTTCTCTCCACCCAAGTACAGCTTCTTGCATTTCCAGACACCACGCCAGAAACTGTTTGCAGACCTGCCAGATATACCGGAAATGACTGCCAATCGGAGAAAGATTTTGGTTACTCGAGCTCAACCTTTGCGTATCCTCGGTATACGGGTGGACCCTCACCTCAGTTGGCATGGCCATGTCGAACACATTGTTGAATGTGTGAAGAGAAGAATGCACAGCCTTCAGAGCATATTTGGATCCACATGGGGACTCTCCCTATATCAGCTACGGAGGCTATATTTTCAATGCATTCTCCCTCGTATCACATATGCATGTGGCGCCTGGTACCTTTGAAGCTCTGATGGCGGTCCTTCATCTTATTTCCACGTTGGTCATGTCCAAAAACTGGCCGCTCTCCAGTACGGATGTCTTTTGCGCATATCTGGTGCGATTTGGGGCACATCGGGTAACATGGTGATGAAGGACCTATGTATTGATCCCATTGATATCACTTAACAGAGATACGCCCATTCTCAGCGTGGCTTGGCACTTGAAGACAGAACCACCGTGGAGTCTCCAAAGCTGAGAGAGTGTTCAAAGAGCCATGATTGGCGTTTTGACCTGAGCCATCACCCATACCATCAGTTGGATGTAACTGCCAATGAGTACAGAAATGTCGCATCTGAAAGAGTCATTCAGCGGTTTACTCCAGAAAAAGCAAAGGAGGCCTGGGACAAGCCGGATATAGGCAAGAGAGAGATCAAGCGTCATGCGCAACCCCAGGCAGCAAAACAGAGTGAACAATGTTGGGAAAAATATTGTTGGGAACGTTATGCCTCCGGCAAACCAGCTGTTCCATCAGTGGATTCCAAATTCGGGAACAAATGGGGACTTGCGAATCTCAAGCTGTACAAGGGACTCTCTCGCGCGCAGAGTACCATCCTGATCCAGATGCGAACCAGCGTCATTGTCCTCAACAGCTATCTCCATTCCATCGGGATATCTCCAACAAACAACAACAAATGCCCATGCGGGGGGGAAGCACACGGTAGCGCACCTGTTCCAGCATTGTTCCCGGTTGGGGAAAGCTCGTCGTGATTTGCACAATACGCTAGGCATGTGGACAATGCCGCAGCTGCTCACCAAGCATGCCGACGTCGCCACACCATGGGCACTCCGCTACTTTGACCTTTCCCAGTTTACCTCCATCCAGGAATATCAGTTTCCTCATCCCAAACAACATCCCCACGGCTCCCTCGAGGACGGGGACTAATGTGCAGGTGACCTCGGTTGCCACCCCTACTGTGGTAAGCCTTTCGTTGCCATTCCGTTGTGCGCAATGAGGAACTAAGCAGCATCGTCACATGATCTTGTTCATCGATTACTAAGACATGTAAGTCACTACAACTGCCCTCTTCTTTACTTCATGCCCTACCTTGCACAACGTTTTTACGTTTTCAAGACCAAAATATTTGCCTTGACGGGCTCCTCTTATATATCGTCTAGTGTTTATACTTCCGCTTTCTATATCCTTGAAGCTCTCCTGTAACATTTAGACTAACTAATCATTTCTATAAAGATTGCCAATGCAGCTTCCGCTTGCACTGTTGCAAAGCGACGTTTTCGACTAACAACTTCAATCCTTTCCAATACATGTACAACATTCACAACTCGGATTCCCGGTAAGTATAAGAAAATATCTCTCTATATGCAGTTGGAAATTTGGCGGGAAGACCATGGCGCTGATATGAACGAGATATAGCTCTCCTCATCGCCACGATGCGCCAAAATGCCGAGTTTTGCCACCTTCACATTCCGTTGAAGAGTCTACGACCCAAATTCTGGCACTAGAAATACGCTAACTATCAACAGCCATCCACTTCTCGCATTACGATCCGCTGATACGCTCCCGTAAGTTAATAGTATATGCTTTGGATTTCAAGTTCTCGCTCTAAGTAGTCCTAACCAACATTTTTCAACAGCGCTACGCGCGTCCACGATTCCACCCGCCAATGGTAGCATGTCAGTGTATCAAAGCTGTCGTGACTCTACAAGAACTAACAGATCAGGTCAGCCATTCACATATGGACGTTATGCCACATGTCTAGCAGCTACTGCTTCCACAGGATGTAGATTGGGTAATCAAAATCATTATCCAAACACATAATTAAATCTAATCAAATACGATACAGAGGGGAGCTATCTGGCAGGAATTCCTTATGCCTCGGCCGTAGGTTCCTCGCAGTACAAAGCCGCTATATAATCGACCCTACCTCGCGGCGCTACTTTCTAATACAGTAGTCCGTTGATTCTATAAGTTCTGGCATGGAATCCAGCATTATCCACAGCGCGGCATGTGTCATAGGTAAGTCTATGCCGTAACGAACGAAGCATTGCATCTACTGAAGCTATCTTGAAGTGGCATACGACAGGTAATCTCTTGTTCTTCTAGTGTCAAGAAGGTCTGTAGTATAACAACCTTCAACAACGATATTAAGGCGATACCGTCGACGGATATAGGGCCTCACCCTGGGCATTATCGATATGAGAAGGTCAACTTCCGTATGTCTTCCCATTCCCTCATGATTTAGAATCCGTCACTGAGAGTTCTACAAGATGTTCTTGACGTCGGCGACAGTTTCTGGCGGGGTGGTGTCGTCGCGCAGGCGGATGTATAACCGCGGTCCATATGAGTCAGCAATCTGTTTCTTGTTATCATGCTTACCTAATATGAATCTCAAGACGGTGCGACAATATCGGAGTGGTCGCGCAATTCGAGTTGTATGTTTCTAAAAGAGCATATGCTGATAGTGAGTTGGACAATTCAGTAAAAGTTGCGGTACTATCATCATACTAACACGCGTTTCGAGGGAAGAGCATTTCTAACTTACGTTCCGGTATGGTGAGCGTCAAGAGCGGACCAGCTCTCACATATACACCAGGAGCTGCATCCTGTCCGCAATGTAAGAAATACCCTTTTTTCACCTGTGCATACGTTACATGCACTAAAGTAAATTTGAAATTGCAGTCCAAACCATGGTTTATGGGTCAAATCATGACTCTATTATAGCTGCTAGCGAATAGCTGTCTCTTTGAAGTTATCTTTCGCATAGCGCTGCGCGGCCAGAAGGTTGTTGTTCGCTACCCCAAACTGCGTTTGAGGTTCTCTGTGAGCCTTTCTCGCTTATCTAAAATTTTCTGGTTTTTTGCGAAGGACAAGCGGTATCACTTCTAATTATTAATCAACGGACTCATCGCTTGTCTATAATAGAATGGAGTTACCGATGACAAGATGACAGACCTATCGCTACACTGGGAAATTGTCACGACAAGCCACGTCTTGGTATGTAAGTTGCTGTTTCTCATGTTCTTATGAGATAAATCTTGCTATACTGAACAGTCCTATTCCGAAACATTAGCATTGCACCCATCACCGTGAATGTTCTTGTTTATCGTTTCACTCGAGAATTCAATACTAATACTACAGTAGACCATACATGAAGTTGGGGTTGGGAAGTAATTGGCGAGGTTAACGTGGCTGGCCGGCGGCAGCAACAGTGCTAACTGACCACGAGGAACGTAGATACCCGGAGGAACCCATGCATGGATACTGAAAACAGGTGATTTGTAGCGCTTCGATTTTCCGTAATCGTTAGTCGAAGTCTGCGTTGTTATGTTACTCTTAGAGCCTTATCCCTACATGTTGTTCCCACGTTCCATGGTTTGAATAGCTTCTGTGTTCAAGAACCAGCATTAGGAGTGCGTATATATCCACTTACCGTAGGGCGATGTTATCTATTGCATTGCAGGCCTCTCGATAAAGTCTGTTTCATGAAAGACGTCACGTGTTTGCTCGAGACTTTTCGTTCGTCCATCTTATACTCTAGATATTACTCACTGACATTGCTAGCTAGCTTTTCAAAGACTTGTACTGTTTTATAATACTGCCTACCCATTGTGTATTAGGGAGTGGATATAGTACCTCACTGCTATTCTATATTGTGTACACTACTGCGTTATGAAAGCCGCTGCGTCCGCAGGCTAAGATTACTCATAAAATGAATAAAAGATGCGATACCCTGATGTAAATCTGCTGTCCTACCTTCATATTGATGCGATTAGTTTTGCATACAGCATGTCAGAGATGGGCAGCAAATCGGGCTACGGTTTGTAAGCATGGATTGAAACACTATTTGATCTTGTTTCCTATACGGTCGGGAGCCTACCAGGAGATAGTGACAAATTAGCACAGGCAATACCTACGATTATAAAGACTTTAGGGACCTTCATTACTACCAGTCAACCGTGATCTTACCTTCAACACATGGCGTACCCTTCTCATTACTTGGCCATGTTGCAGCTTGTTCTGTAACCCTTCTATGGTCATTTGAGCAATTTTCTGTCATCCACAGCCCCTTCCAAGTCTCAGTGGTGTTACTATCCGTTGTTGATTATTGCTAGCCTCCACTGACAATTCCTCGCAGTCGAGACATGTTGAACACAGAGCAGATGTTCCTAGCAGACCAAATCATGTCTCTCTTCCCGCATGACATGAGTTGTGGCAAGTGTTACACCTGAATAGCTTCAAGCACTAGCACTTCAAGTCGCAAGCCGGATACGAAATCTGTTAAACGGGTGAATAGGAAAGTCAATCTAACATTGTCACTACTGTGTCATCGTATGCATGCATAGAAATATCTGGAAGTAGAACACCGAATATGAGGAGTGTATTTGCAGGGCTCGAACATCTGATCACGTGACAACATCCGGTTTCTACTGGCCCCTATCTTGTGCACATGCCCTACCATTTTCCCCTCACATTTGGCTCAAAGCCTAGCAACAAGAACATGCTGGAGCCTGGACCTGCGATACGCCAGAAAAATTTCAAGTGTCTCTCGGAAGTTCCACAGTGGTCACCTCTCAACTATGGAAAGGCTGCAGCTAGCTGTTTGATCGACATCGCCCCTCTTGTGATTTTATTGATGTGAACTCAACCATTGATTCATCCTTACGTCATCAGAATCAATGTGTGGCTGCATTCGTGGAGAGATCCTAGCTAACACGTGAAACCCAGCTGAAGCATGTCGATTATACATGATATCTCGCGGGACTCTTGCCTATTGGTTCAACCCAAGAGATACTTGAAGCCACGCTACGCCTTCCTCCTATTCGGAACAATTTCCACCTTCATACACAGATACTCCTGGATATTCAACTATTTTTAAGCGTCATAATGCCACCGCACGATGCAAGCATCTGCCCGGCACTTCAGTGTGCAGCTCCAGTCTCCCATATTCTCGTTGCCAAGGGAACTGTGAGAGATGGTATATGACTACTACTTTGCTCTGAGAATGGTAATCACTATGACTATAAGTCAGGGAAATTGATTACGGCAAGTAATCTCCCCATGGACATCGCACTTACAAACCTGCAGGTTGGCCGTTGCTGAACTCAACAAACGCCGCCTCTTAGCTCGAACGATATATTTTACTACCGTTTACGAGGAGACTCTGCAGAGTCTCTTGGAAAGCTGTGGAAAGGTCTTCGACTATGTCAGGGACAAACAATGCAGCATACTGGCTGATGTTTACAGGTTCTTGGATGCACCAGCGAAATCAGGGTTGGAGAAATGTTTTCCTCACCTTTCCCACCTGATACATTCGTTCCCAGCAAAACAGAAAGATTTCGGTTTGAGAATACACAGCTATGGAGAAGCTCCATCGATATCTGAAATGTTCGCCAATGCTGCATTACGCATCTTCTGTGAGAATTCTCGACTAGTCAGAAAACCATCAGAAAATTCAAAGAATCCGAGAACGCGCTGCCTCTGCGATGACGCCCCTGGATTGTCAACTTTGAACCTCATACCTTGCACGTGCCCCACAGAAGAGAATTCAGTAAGCATACTTGATGTCTGCGGGCTTTACCGCTTGGGAAACGATTTTGTGGAATGCAAGAAATCCCGAATGTCAGCAGCCTCAATGGCTGTCAAGTTCCTCAGTAACCTTTCGCACGACAGACGAGTTCCGATCCGAAGAATTGTCCTCCTGGAAGACTTTCTAGCAGCTACAAAGCCTGAATGTCATGCTCAAGGCCTCATTCCATACTGCAAGGAAAACCCTGGTCTGTACATCGAGCGCAGGGTGAATCTCTGGAGGGCTGTCTTTCCAGATGCCTCGGGACCACTTGTGTTGGATTCGACTGGATTAGGTGGACATGTACACGGTCTTGAAGCTCACTACATCACAAAAGGAGGTATTGGACTATGGATAGCGGAGGCCAGAGCACTCCCAAATTTAGGCATGCCGCTCGAGTCTTTCACCTTAGTCTTGGATGGTGATCCAATTCCGACGAAGACAACTGAGATATTCCAAAATGTGGTCCAAAGAGATGCAGCATGACAATCTGCTTGTGTGAAGCACTGCTCTAATCTCATACCTGCTTTGGATTGGTCAACTATTCGGAACAACGCAGCAGTCCAGTACGACGGCTTTCCAGAAGCGCTTCACGATGTTACAACTGAAAATTCAACACTGATCAAATTCAACTTTGATCCTGGAAAGCAATTGAAACAGGAAGCGATTGTAGAGAAGGGTCGTAATTGGGATCTGGAACGTTGGGCTAAAAAATGATTTCATGGGGCCCGCTATCGGTGTGACCCTGAAGTACCATGACCGAGCTGGCGCGACCTTCTCCTCGAGCACTTTATGCCGGAGTGAGTGTTTCTAAAAAGGTGAAGATGGAAAAAGGGTCTTAACTGCGTTTTGAGCCTCCTGCATAGTTCCCAAAGTCTAAGATACGATTGATGAACTTGGAGGCTGTGATAGCATAAGCGGCATGTTAGAACGTTGCAATGGATATCAGGATTGGAAAGGCATTTCAGGGATGTGAATCTTGTGCGAGACTATCTCAAGAGAGTAGTATAAGATGGAAACATGGATTATGCGCTCATTACAAGACACGGGAACAGAGAAGGCAAGATTCAAATCATTGCGGAATGTCCGTGTCAGAAGGTCAGAATGATTGAGGCTCGAGCAAGATGTGACAGGACGGACCATCACACCAAGGTAGCTATCACATGCCAATATCTGATAGCAGGCGGTTTTTTCATGTCTGTTATGAGAGACATCAAGCAGACAAGATATCAAAATCGCAACTACAGCAACAACTATAGCAGAAGTGATCAGTAACAATCGATAGATGAATCTTTGTGAATGCGCAAGTAGACAAGTAACTCTTCAGCTGTGTCGTTGTATAGGATGAGTAACTTGGCCCTACATTTTGGATAAAAAGATGTACGATATTGTGATTTGAAACAGGTTTGCCGCTTATAATAGGTCCACGAAGAGGGCACCTAGTAGCTGCTGGTTTATCGGAAAGAAAATAGCAAACGTCAAGTGATGTAAGCGTGACGTGACGTTGCATGACTCGACGTTGCATGACTCAGTTGACTTGTCACATCAAATTACGTGCAAGTGATGCAATCACGTGATGCGAAAGACACGTGACTTATGACATCATACCACATAACAGAAACAACGGCATGTGATATAAGACCACGTGTTGTGATGTGATAAGTTACTAGCGTTATGCAGTATCACGTGACTTGTTACATCACACTACGTGCTATCATATCACATCACATCACATCATATCACCTGATAAATTCCATTTCATCACATGACTTACCTCTGTTACAAGGAAATTTTTGTGTCACGTGACCCGAGACCACTCGATCACATCATGGTTTTTGGTTCTAGTTTCCTTAGTACTCTAGGTAAGTAAGCTCTTTCTAATATGGTCTCCGTTATAATATTATAATTAGATTTGTTAAATTATTAGAGTAGTAGTAGGTCCATCTGAATCATCAAGCTATGTTTCTATTTTCCCTTTTCCTACTATAGAACTCGCCTTGCGTATGTTTTCAAGCTTAAATGCATTATTATAGCGTCCTATAGTCTATCACTTCCTATATCATTCTATCAAGCTTTGTACAAAAGTTGCAGGTAATGCTTATATATATTCTAATATTCATCTAGCACACTATATATTTGTAACGTATTCCATCACCGAGCGGGCCACATTGTAACGGCGCAGGTAAGGCAGGTCGGATCTGTTTCGGTCGTAGGATCACTCAGAGGCATATGGGAGTGCGTGGGATCACAAAGAGCCTAGATTCAACAAGCCACCTATAGGCCTTGTACGAAAGGATATCAAAAGTCTACAGAGCTAGCTACAGGGAGTGTCTCAATATATACCTATCCTAGTCGGGTCCGAATTCGGATCCGACCTCGGGCGAATGGCTGATGAAGGGCGGCAGGTACTTCCTCCGATCCGGCTCTGGGATTGGCTCAATACTTGGCGAAGTTGTAACATCGTTACAGGCACATGCTTTATTATAATCAACCCTTGAAATTACTGCTAATTCAGTGCACTCTTATCATGTTCTACATATTAAACCTTAGATACCTACACTAAGCTAGGAAAAATATGAGTAGTCAATGAAGCAACAATTATTACTTAGATATTCTTAATCTCTTTCTTAAGAAAACTACTTAAAACGCTGTTCTGCAACACAGAAGATATGAACTTGAAATAGATATACACACAGCCTATATCAGAGCTGAACATAGGTCCGGATGTAGCTATTATCTTGTTCAATACATTCTAGCCATGCTAGCTAATCTAACTGTACTATCATTCAAGCTACTATAGCTATACCAGCTTCGCTAGCTTTTTTACCTTCTACTATTCTAGCGATTCTAGTGTTTGTTTTGTAATATACCTTCACTCCTCTAACACAATATAAACTGTTTTTGAATTCTTTAAATCTTCTTGCACCTTGTTTACATGTAATCAACGTTTATTCTATAAGTAGGAACCTACAATCCAAGCTACTAATGAATAACATAGTAATACTAAGAAGAGCATGTTATTCATCATACTTTACATGTAAGACTACGATAACATAACTTCTACACTACTATAATTAACCCAGTAGCCGCTGGAATACGGAAAAGAATAGTATAGCACCTCATTCCGCGTCTTCTTTATCTTAGTCGCAAGTTGTACTAAACTATATGTCATATCGCTATCAATAACTACTACTACCGCAGCTGCCTACTATTAAAGCTACCATTGCTATTCTATCTATTTGTGTAATACCTTGATGGACTTTGTAGTGTACAGACTGTCAGAACTGTTATCATAGACTACACCCTAATAAGAATGTTAATAACTATAAGATCCTAGAACGCTTATCACATACACTAAGCTCGACTTCTATCACCTCTGAGAGTGACAGCATTACGTTATTTCACACCTAATCGCAGTCTAGGCCTATCTACCGCGGCCACATTACTACCGTTAGCACAGCTGCTACTGCAAGCATAGCCTATTGCCACAGGTATAACCACTGCAACTGCTAATGGGATATAACCTGCTGCTTCTGAAGAACCTAGTTTTCATGTTACCTATCAGCTCAGTCATCGCCCTTGGTTTGCTACAGGTATATTGTCCTTCAATCCACGTTAGCCAGGAAGCTAGAAATGAATCTTATGAATCATTTACTCTCAGCTCCCATCTGTCAGTCCTGTAGCTAAAGCCCTTTCATATACTCTTTTTATAGTCTAACACTCTTCAAGCTGCTACCACTGTTGTGATATTTCACCAATCAGCAGATGCTTACTACCATTGATCTTCATTACCATCATACTACATATATACAATCCAGCCGCTACCAGTCATTCTCTCACTTTCTTACTAAACGCCCATGACCTAGTTTTGAAACCCCTTCTCCAGTCCCCTCAGCCAAACACCCGCCGCATACGCACCCGGATCTGGTATCTTGGATCTATCACTCCCATCATCTGCAATATACGTGGCACGCCCAAACTTTGGCCTCATGTCCTTTGTACCGTCGGCCTTTGTCTCGGCAACATCTACGCTCTTAGCGAAGTCTTTGGTCTCTGCCAGTGTGTTGATAAACGGAATGAGGACATCCATGACGGTTCGGTCGCCCTCCCTTGCGCTCGTGTAGTTTTTTAGGTTCTCGAGTGCGGTCAAGGCGGACGAGGCAAGGGTCGATATGTCCAGTGGCGCATTTTTGGACAGCGTGGCAGTTGCGAGGGCATTGGTAAAGGCGGTGACGAGAATGGAGAGAATAGCGCCAAGAGAGCCACCAACGTCTTCAACGTTCTCGCTTATGCTCTCTAATAGAGCGAGGATCGGGGGCGGGTTTTGCTCGACTGCGTCAATGTTTGCCAATATGCTCTTGCATACGCCGGCTACAGCTTCTCCACAATCTCCGTCGCCCATTTGCAGGTCGTACTGGGTGATCTTGGGCTCGGCTGCTAGTGCTGCTTTGCATGCGGTTCGCAGTGCTGGGATCAAGGATGGTGGCGTGGCAGGGCCTTTGTGGAGTGCTGACTCTTCAGATAGAGCCGCATTGGCCTTGTTGCGCAACTCTTCCGTCTCCTTGTTGACGTTGACTGGTTGGTAACCGTTCTTTGGCCACGCAGGAGCGTTGGTCGGCGCATCCAGCAAAGCAATGACCTCTTCGTCCTTGATTCCCATGGCCCTTGCCATTCCGCTCATGTTGCCCAGTGTTATGCTGAAACCCTGGGCATTCAGCGACGTCTCGAGCACGCCAGCATAGATACGTGTCGGCACAATCTTCCAGTCGCGCTTGAGAGCTATCAGGGCGAGATTGACCAAGGCATCGAATTCTAGATTTGAAAGACCGCCAAAGTTGTTGACTAGCATGACGACGTTGTCATCGGGATTGAATTGGACGAAGGCGCGATCCGGGTCGGAAGGGTCAAGTAGGTACTTGAGCACCTCTTTGATCACGTCTTCCGGACTTGGCATTGGGTGTATGGTGCGTAGGCCCTACGATCATCCATTAACATGAAGCTCTTTCGAAAAGACAAGAGAAAGACTTTGCTTACCGGCTCATTGTGGATACCCATGCCTACCACACATGCATCATCCTGTACACTCTCAAATGCCTCGCGTCCAGGAACATGGCAATGGTCCAAACTTGTGCCAATCGTAACCAACTGCTCATTTCCCAGCTCGCCCATCTTGCGGCACCGCTCAAACGGCCAGCCCTGCAATGACGCGCCTCCGATGAGCTTGATGACCAGCAGGTTACCTGCCAGCCCTCTGCGTCCCACCTTCCCGCTCTTTTCGCGACCCAATGCGGCGTCTTCCGCCATGCAGACAACATCGACTTTGTAGCCCAGCGCCTGGCCCTTTTCTCTCGCCAGGCCAAAGTGCAGCATATCTCCGGTGTAGTTTGTAATACAGAGAATGATGCCCTCCGTGCTGGGTACATTCCTCATGCCCGCCATGATCTGCTTTGTGCTCGGCGACGCGAAGATGTCTCCACACACAGCTGCCGACAGCATGCCGTCGCCCACAAAGCCCGACCACGCCGGCTCGTGGCCGGATCCGCCTCCAGATATGATTGTGACTTCGTTGGGTGGGTGGGAAACGTTGTAGACGACGCGATTGGCTTCGTCGAGAGCCATGTGCTTGTTTCGCGTGCATAGCGAGCGCAGGGTATGCAACACCACGCCTTCGGGGTTGGGGAAAAAGTGTTTCCGCGACATGCTGGGCGGAAAAACTTGTTCGTGTCGATGCTATGATTTTCCGCTCGCTATCTACGTGCAGTCAGTTGTGTGCACACGACAGCAATGCTCAGAGATGGATGCGACGTCCGCTCAACAATGCATGCATGCACTTACATGTACCCCAAGCTTTGCACGAAAGCCCCAACTCAAACGTCGGGAAAGCGGAAGAGGAAAGGCAGAGAGGTCGTGCTCGGCCAGAAACCCCTCGGTCGGGCGCATACCGTCCCTTATAAGCCTTCACTTCCCCGCTCCCCACGCCCCGCCATGGATAAACATGCCACGCCGCGAGACCCCGCCCGCATCCAGCAGCAACGTCAAAAAAAAAACCAGCGCCCACACCGACGGCCGCTCTCCGGACGGGTAATTTGCTTGCAGTACCGACGCCCTGTTCGGACCGCATCAGCGATGTCAGTATGAAATGCGTAAGTCGAGGTATACTGCTTTGAGGTAAGACGCGGGGGGTCAGGTTAAACAGCTGGAACCGGTGGAGCTGGCTTTGCGCCGGGATTGCTGTTTTGGGACGTCCCGGGGGGAGAGCTGGAGCTGCGGTGGCTGGAGCATCGGCCTGGCCTCCGAGGGGCGCGGCATTTCATCGCTGGAGGCTCGCGCTGAGACTGCGCGTGGTTTTGCCTCGAGTATGCGTTGCTTGGATGAGGTTTCATGGCGATGAGTCGACATGTGCACGTGTTGGTCATGATGAGTCGGCTGCTGATGGCTGCACTCAGCCCACTTTTCTAATACCGACAATCTACACGGCTGCTCTCTACTCCCCACCGCCGACTAGCTTGACAGCATAGCAAAACCCGATGAATGATGGCTTCAAGCAGAATGGAAGCAGAGCAACCTCGGCCACGACCACCTAGTCAAACATGATCTTCTTACCCTTCAACAAGGTACCTCCAAGCAGCTTGCCAACTGCGTATCCAATGTAAGCTCCAGTAACAATAGTAACCGGCCATTTCTGCCACTCGCGGTCCCTGCGTATCATGAGCATGCTATTGTGAAAATTCCCGGCTCGTGCCCGGCGACTGGCCCTGCAGCTATGACGGGAGAACTCACCAGTCCAACGGGATCGGCACGGCGCCTAGCCATGCGCCAAGTACGGTGCCAATCAGCCCTCCATAGACCTCATCCATCGGGAGGAGCAGCGCGATGATGTGCCTCCATGTGTCGCCGTCCACACCGTGTACATATATCAGGGGAAGGGTGCTCAGGAGGGCTACGTGGGCGCCGCAGAGCAGGGTATGCGCATGGTGCGTGGATACGGGTGCGCCGAAGAGGACGAGGATTGCCGTGAGGAGCGGGGTTGCGGCGAGCGCGGTAAGGAGGAGAGACAGGAAGGCCGGCTGTAACCATGTGTTAGTTGTCCAAATCACTGCTTTCCGCAAGCCCCCGGCCCAGCTGCCGTAGTGGAGAAGACACGTACGACAATCTTCGAGTTGACGCCCTGTTCCAGCTTGGTCGGCGTCTTGCCCTTCTTCTCGCCAGGCTTCTGCTTTCGCATCGACGGCGTGCCTCCTGTCGGCGGGAGACACACGGCCACAAAGGCTATCTGCAGCACAGCGAGCGGCGCCAGGGTACTCAGCAGCGTCGGCACCGGGTCTGCGACAAGGGCGCGGAACTTGAGCGCGTAGACGGAGAGGACGAGGAGGGGATGCATGTGTGTGTACAGACGCGCTGTGTCGTTCTTTAATGGCTCAATTGGCGCGGCCGTCGCAGGCTGCGGCTTGGATGTCGCGTTTGCGTTGATGACGGTGGCGTTGGCCATGCTGCGAACCGAAGCCGTGATGCTGGAGAATGTAGACGATTGGGAGACGCGGCAGTCGAGAACGAAGGGTATTAGAGGGAGCTCGGGAAGGAGTGGATGGCGCCGGGCCCGTTGGGGTGCTGGTGTTGGGTCGTGGCAGGGCGACATGGCCGCCCGGAAGGTTTCGAGGGGACGCCGGCCGTGCTGCGCGCTGATTGGTCCGTTGCCCAGCCCCTCGATCACGCACCTCCGTCAAAGCTGTACAACACGACTGCAGAGCTGTGGTCCTGTACCTAGGATGCGCCATGGCCTGTTCATTCATATACATGATCCCTTGTAGTCATGCGCGAAACTTTTCCCATGATGCGTGCAGTGCTACGTAAACCTGAGTGGACCGTGAGGATGCATCAATCATTTCACGACTGCTCGCCCTTCTTAGGCACCAAGTTCCTCAGTGATAAGTCGTAAACAACATCCTCCACATCCTTGACGCGATACTTCAGCCCATCGCTGCGGCGGCGCAGGCTGTCGTTCTTGAGATTGAGGACCTGGAACCCAGCATGCAGGTCCTTGACGAACTGGTTGATGAGCAGTGGACGCTCGTAGTCTCCCAAAGTGACTGCGTTGCGTGCGAGGCGTGTCTATCGGCGTTAGCTGCATACAGGTGTTGGCTCTATCACGCAATCAATCGACGTACCAGTTCTTCGACGAGCGTCATGAGCGAATGCAGGTACTCCTCGAGCGAAAGATGAAACTCGTCGCGCTCCTTCAGATTTACTGGGACTGTCTGGCTGTCAACCATGCGCATTTGATGTGCTGCTTTGAACCTACTCTTGAAGATCTCACCAAGCTCCTCAACGGTCAACAGCCGTCCACATTGCACACGGCCGCCCTCGTACTTGTAGCCGCCGAGCCAGCCCCAGAAGAGAATGCTTTCGCACTAGAGCGCTGTCAGTACTGAGCGCTGCATATCGCGCGCGCAGTCAACTTACTGCGCCCTGCATCTGGCGGCTCCACATGTTGTTGAACTTGTAGTATGGCATCTTCGATGCAGCTTGCGAGAGCTTGGAAACCGTTTCAATCACATTGTCAATAGGCTCTTGGGCAGCTTTCAGCATCTCCGACACTGCGCTATGCTTAGCTAGGATGCTACTGTCCTGCGGTGCTGCCACTCACGCTCGTCGACGCGTGTGGAATGGGCTCTCGACAGTACGAAAGAGACATTACGGTCTGGGAAACGCGTTAGAACATCTTCATCCGTCGTTTGAAACCACTCACTATGCTTCTCAAGCGCCTGGATGATGTCTCGCAGCTCCTGTCGCGTGGTGAGTATGTGGTCACGTGCAGCTCGGTCTGCGGACGCCACTCACATCTCTAACAGCAGCGTCCTCATCGATACGCGCCTGGAGGTCCTGGAAGATGGCTGGATCAACCATACCTGATTGCGCTACCATATTGATACGACTTTGCAGGTATGCAGACACGTTGGGGTTGTGTTTATGATTGTGGTTGAACGTCGACGTTTGCCGGTTGGGCAAACAAGCGCAGCTACGAAAATTTGGCGTCTCGCTCTTTGCACCACGCAACCTCGATTTTTACGCACGCAAACGCATGTAGCTTACTTTGTGCACACCCAAAGCAAGGCACGTGTATGTCTTGGTTGACTTGCCTTCTATTTGCTGTATGAATCATTTCGGCATGCTGATGCGGCGGCTTTAAGCTGACACTCGACGCTGTCATGCATCGGCCGCTAAAACAACAGCCTCAAAGACCGCGCGGCGCATTAGCAGCCACGACACATTTATAGTTCCGTGTACCCTAATGCATAGTGAAAGCGACTGCATCCGGACCTCAAAATCACTCGTAAAACAAACTATTTCGTGGACCCCACGTTGCAGACAAAAACACGTCTTCAGCTGATTTATGACAATTCCACGGATTGGCCACAAATATTGCTATCGCGTTTACTGTATCAAAATACACGTGCTATCCCCATGTTTTCTTCGACTACACATTTCGCATCAGCTACCGATGTCCTCACCCTAGGAAGTAACTGGGTAGAGGTAGGGAACAGGTTGCACAGCCCCTGGATAGGGTTTTGGATAGGGGCTGTGCAAGGGTTACGCGACCTTAATTAGTCGTTCAGTCGAACCAGAGTTACATGAGACATATTGTTTACTTCTACCCATCAGTAAGCCCCAACATTGGAGTTGGTATAAGGGGTGAGGTGCGTTTTTTCTACACATCTCAGGTGAGCATACCGTAACCAGCCCCTGCCCAAGTCTTGGTCATCATAGCGCTTCCCATCTTTAGTCACTCCTACCTACTCACACACTTACCCCAGCCGGAACATTACCACAATCGTATTTTGTTTTTTCTAACCAGCTGTTATCCGACCCCGTAACTCATACTAGTACATCTCATGCTATCGCACACTCAACTGTTTCTCCCCAGCCATCCTGAAAAGAACCTTCAACTTAACCAGCCGACTCATCTTCTTCCACGCATCCACACTCGAGTGCTGACCACTATCCATACCTAGTCCCTCGTTATCCAGTCCTGTATCATCCGCACATCTGGTGATACACTCTATAGCGACGCAGGCAAGACAACTCAAATTAGTATCATGAGTGATACCATTCAAAGTATATCAAAGCACACAAAATGATAAGAGTTTGTAAAGCTACCTGGGGATAATGTTCTTATAAATACTTGTTACAATTTTCATCTAAAGGTAACTAAGGATTGAGAGCATTGGTTGCATGCAGATTAGCTTTGGAGTCTTTGTATCATTAAGTAGTGAAATAACAGAGTTACACAACCCCTCTTAGTAAAAACCTAGTCCTATAGCTGTGAGACTCTTTGAACTCCATTCTGTTGCTATTACCTGACCTCCACATGCCTGGGCATTTGCTGGCTTTTTGGGGGTCCTGATTCGACAGGGTGGTGTCAGGGGGAATTTCGGGGGGGGGGGGGGGGGGGTTTCGCTACACAGGTTTTCTATTTTCTGTTCGTTTTTCACACTCGATCATTATCAGTGAAGTCGAATGTTTCTAGTCTTTCTCATACGTCTGAATAGGGTAGCTCAGAGCCTAATAAGGTATAGGCTTTGAGGCATTTTGCCTATGAAACTCTCCGTGTTTGTGGGAAGAGCCCATGACCTTGGAGGCAGTGTACTAGGTAGGACCTGGGTCCTATCCAGTATAACTTACCCTCGAGGATCTGTTCCACTTTCCCCACTTCCACAACCTGAATAGGCAGACCAGGGGGCTTAGGAGCTCCTTATCCTGGGAGGGGATCCTGAGGGCCCCTCCACAACAGGTCTAGAGCAAAGATGTAGTAGATTAGAGATTCTATAGCTTGTAAGAGTTAGTAATAATTACTTAACTTTCAAAGAACCTTACATTATTCTTCTTACTTTACAGCAAGTTCTTAGTTAAGGTTATTAATTACTTAGTTCTTAGTATCTAAGAAAATTATATCTCTAATGTTCTATTTAATAGAATTATAATAACAACTAATAGTAGATTGTATCTTGTTTTAAGCCTTCTCTATATACTAATTACTAGTATCCTGTACTGTATGTAACGGGCTAGGTAGCCCGCTACAGTACAGATAGCGGTGGCTATCTTATGTATCAACTACGCAACGATATCAGCAGCTCTGATATCTTGTGCCAGCCTTTTTGGCGCGGTGGGCGCGTTGTAGTTGCGTGCGCAGTCTAATAGGACTCGACCCGTTACACTGTATATATAAATATATATAAGTAGTAAGCGCTAAATTCTTCATTGAATTAAATCACTAAGTATATTATTATTATTATTATTATGATTCTAGTTTAACGTCCTTTTTCAGCCCGAAGGGCTATATAAGACGTGTAGG